CCTGAAGCCAGGAGCCTGAAACTCCAGGTTGGTCTCAGACAATGTGCTTGAGCCATCAAGTAGTTGAGTCATTACCTATTGCCTCTGAGGGTGTACATTGGTAGGAAGCTAGAATCAGAAGCAGAGGTAGGACTCAGACACAGGCACTTTGATTTGGGGTGTGGGCAAGTGGCATCTTAATTGCTGTACCAAATGCCTGCCCCTATAAGTTTACTTTTTATATTGAAGAACTAAAAAAAAAAATAAGAAATAGAAAGTTGCAGGGCACTGCAAATGGTAAAACAAAACACAAATAGACATTTTCTAAAAAATATAGAATTTCTAAAATTTTCTAGAATTGAAAATATAGTAAGAAAAAGTAAGAACTTAATGAATGAGTTTAATAGTATATTTTTTGAAGTTGAGGGAAGAATTGCTGAACTAGAAGCTAGGTACATATCTAGAATGAAAAAGAGACGAAGGGAGGGAAAATATTGAAGGGAGAATACATGCATGGGAGACAAAGTGAGAAAGCCTAGCATATGGCCCCTTGGAGTCCCAGAAGTAAAAGAGGGAGACAATGTTTGATGAGATAATGACTGAGAACTTTCTAAAATTGACAAAGAACCGTAAGGAACAGGAAAAGAATCCCTGGGACACTGAAAAAAAGGCTAAAGAAAAATAGCTGCACATTTTGGCATAGAATAGTTAAATTGTAGAAAGCCACAGAAATTAATATTTAAAATAGGTCAAGATTACCTTCACAGAAGCAGCTATTAGGCTGAGGCTTGATGTCTGAATAGTAACAATGCTTACCAGAAGACAATGGAAGTAAAATAATTGCCAGTTTAGAGTTTTGTACTCATTGAATGTATACTTCAAGAATGAAAATGAAATAAAAATATTTTCAGAAAAATGAAAACTGAGAACATTCTTTGGAGCATCTGCAGCAGTAAAATAAATACTAATTAGAGAGTACTCTTTGAGCCATAGAAAAACGGTCCCCAGATGGAAGATCAGAGATACAGAAATGAATAATAATGGAAACAGGGAAATACAGGGACCCGTGTCAATTTGTATTTATTTTATGCAGCAATAATAATAGTGTCTACATGAGCTGAAAGTATATAGAGAGGAAAAGTGACAATACTATGTAAGCTGGGAAAAGAAAAAATGGAGTTAAAATGTTCTAATGTTCTTGACTACAAGTTGTAATTTCTAGGATGAACATTAAAAAATTAGTAACATATTAGAAAACTTTTGAGAAAACAGGATGAAATGGGATAATAAAAATAATCCAGTGAGGAAAGGATAATCTTTTTAATAATGGACTGGAGCAAGTAGTTGTCTATGTGAAAAAAACAAGGCTAAAGAAACCAAGGAATTTGACCCCTAAATAATCAATCCAAGGCAGATTGCATTCCATTGTGAAAGGAATGACTTTATGACCTCGGGAGAGGTAAAGATTTATCAAACAGAACAATGAAAGCACTAAACCAAAAGAAATGGTCACAAAATTTGGTGTCACTGAAATTAGGAACTTCTTTTATTGAAAAACATCATTCATAGAGTGAGAAGGTCACACAATGAATGGGAAGAGAGATTTGCAACACCTATAACCAACAGAGGTTTGTATTTAAAGAATTCCTACAACGAATATGAACAAAAATTAATCCAGTAGAAAAGTGGGCAAGAAAATTGAACACACATTGCAAAAAGAGGATATTGAAGTGTTCAATAAATCAGTGAAAAAAGGCATTTGGCTAACATTATTTACCAGAACCACAAGGAAATATCACTACATTAGCTACAATTAAAGTTATAAATGATGCTAAGTGTCGGTGCAGATTTGGAGCAATAATAACTCATACTCACAGGTTGGTGGGAATGTAAACTGGTATAAGCATTTTGGAAAAACCATTTGGTATTATTTATTAAACTTCTTGAGATTTATACTCTATGATCTAGATGGCCCATTTCCAGGTTTCTACCTGATAGCACACAACCTGTGTGTGGTTGTGCACCAAGAATCATATGCAGAATATTCATAGAATTTTATGTAATAGTTCCATACTAAAGATAACTCAAAATGCCCATCAACAGGGTGAAAAAACCATCTGACATATTCATACAATAGGATATTTTCCAATTTATGGATGGACTATGACCAAATGGAATGAATCTCACACATATAATGCTGTGAGAAGAAAACAAAATGTAAATGAAAATATTCTGTATGAATCTATTTATATACTTTAAAAAATGAAGCAAAACCAGACTATAGTATTTAAGGATGTATGTTTAAGTGCTACAATGACAAAGAAAAATAAGAAAATATTTGTCTTAGTAGTCAGGATAGTTGCTATTTTTGGCAGGGAGCAGAGACTATAGTTACTGAGAGGGGTCACAAAGGATGTTTTAGGGATGCGGGAAATGTTTTATTTCTTTATTTTGTGGTGATTTACATAGAAGACTCTCTTTATAATAAATATTTTTTCATCCCATGCATGTTACAGCATGTATGTCATAATTTACATTTAAAACTGGTTGTGCAAATAAACCAAATAATGACTTAGAACCATACTGAGGGACAGTTAGAATTCTGATCCTAAATATATAACTGGGACTTTTATGGTAACTTCAGTTCCTGTTTATAGGCTAAATAATGCATTCACAGAGCTGTACTGATAAAATGTCAAAATCAGGACATGGAAATATGTTCCATTTTTGATGCTTATTCAACTTTGGCCACTTTCCAATTCCTTAAAGATCTGAATTTTATAGGCATTTGTCATTACAGGTCAACTTTGATTTAAAAATCTGACTCGAGGGAAGGTCTTGAAATACAAACACTCTGTGAGAGAGCTAAGCCTTACATAACTTGAAGCACAGGCTCAGAACTGTACTTGTGGCTACTACAAATGAAAGCAAATCAGAGTAAACATTTTCAAACAACATTCTCTGAAATATTCACTATGTTGAGTTCTCAGAGATATTTGTAATACTTTTTTTCAAGTTACTGTCACCAAAATGCAGGGTGAGTTTATTTTGTGTCAATATACCAAAAATACATCATCCTACTTGTTCCTCATGTTCTAGTATTGAAACTCTCAGCCACTGAATTATTTTGATAACTGTTAAGATTTACAGTTAAGTGCTAACAATTACAGTGAAATTTTTTATAAAACAGATTCGAGTTCATGATGGTTGTACCCTGTCTTGGTATATGAGAGTCTTGTGGACATTTAAATTGCTGCCATAAATCTAAAACTCAATGCAGTTAGCTTAAAATTGGTACCAGTGAGTTGGTTCTATTGATACTTTACTGATCATTCCAGATGTTATAAATTTCAGTGTTATGTAGATATAATAATTGTTTGTTAAGATCTACTGGATGGACTTGAATATATACTGATGTGAGGTTTTCAAAAAATTTTATTTATTTTTGTTTTATTTGGAAGGGAAGGAGGGAGGGAGAGAGAGAGAGTTAGAGAGAGAGAGACTCACACTGGTTCACTCTCTAATTGCCTGCAACAGCCAGGCTGGGTCAGGTTGAAGCCAGGAGCCTAGACTCAATCTAGGTCTCCCACATGGGTGGCAGGCATCAACTGTTGCTTCCCAGGTTGTGCATTAGCGGGAAGTTTGATCAGAAGTGCAGTAGCTAGGACCCTAACTAGGCACTTGGCTATGGAATGTGATTGTCCCCAGTGGCAACTTGACTGCTGCACCAAATGCCCTATATGAACAGCTAGAAACACAAATATGAAGAAACACACACACACACACACACACAAAATGTGCATGGGTTAAATTTTCTGACCTAGCAATGAGGTAACTTGTCTTTTTAGAGACAAGGAAACTGTACATAAAAGTCACATTATTAATTAATTAATAATAGATCCCTTTTTAAAATATTTATTTATTTATTTGAAAGGCAGAGCCACAGAGAGAAAGAGGCAGAGAGAGGGAGGCAGAGAGAGGTCCTTCACTTGCTGGTTCACTCCCCAGATGGCCACAACAGCTGGAGCTGAGCCAATCTGAAGCCAGGAGCTGGGAGCCAGGAGCTTCCTCTGGGTCTCCCACATGGGTGCAGTGGCCCAAGGACTTGGGCCATCTTCCAGTGCTCTCTCAGGCCACAGCAAAGAGCTGGATCAAAAGTAGAGCAGCTGGGTCTCTAACTGGCGCCCACGTGGTATGCTGGCATCACAGGTGGCAGCCTTACCCACTCACAGTGCTGGCCTTGCACATTATTAATTTACAATGTCTTCAGAAAAACAAAAACACACTTTTACCTCCTGATTCCCAAGTACGTGACAAGTACTTTTTTTTTTTTTTGGCTTACACATTTCTAAAGTTTTATTTCTTTATTTGAAAATCAGAGTTACATAGAGAAAGGGAGAGATGCAGAGATATCTTCCATTCACTGGTACACTCCCCGGGTGGCTACAATGGCCAGGATGGGTCCAGGCCTAAGCCAGGAGCCTAGAATTCCATCTGGGTCTTCCATGTGGGTGGCAGGGTACCAAGCACTTGGGTCATCTTCCACTGTTTTTTCGAGGCCATCATCAGAGATCTGGGATCAGAAATGGAGCAGCAGGTATATGAACTGATGCCCACATGGGATGCTGGCAGTGCCACAATGCCAGTCCAGGCTTATATGTTTCTAACTGAGCTGCTGTATACTAGCTTTGAAAGACCCAGTCTATTTGTGCATAGACATAATGCATTTATATTTACTGATTCCACTTATCCAAATGGAAGTTAAGGTTAAATCTGCACTACAAAAAAACGTGGGACTGACTTGTCCATAGTTGGCACAGAAAACAATATTTCCTAGGCAAGAGTCAAATAGCAAGTTCTGGGAATGCAAGAAGCAGGGCCTGCTTCCTGCTACTATTTTTCCTTTGAAATGCTGGCAAAGTGGAACTTGAGAGAGAGAGAGAGAGAGAGAGAGAGAGATGGAGGGATGAATGGGTGAAGCTCTGTGGAGGTGCTTGAAATGCAGTGTGCCAAGCTCCTACCTTCTGATTGATTTTCATTGTCTCTTCATTGTGGTAGAGAAGGAGCTTTTCCCCAGATGAAGTCAGGTTAACATACACCTGGAGGCAGGGATATTGAGAGACTTTCCAGCATTCTGAACCGCAGCTGAAGGAGCAATTAAATGTTTCTGTGATGGATGCATTCAGCAAGGTGCATTGAGATTCTTCAGTCCAAACACTGCAGAGAGAGAGGGAGAATAAACAGAGGCCCAGGAGCTAGAGAGGAGGAAAGTGTGATGGGGGGGGGGGAATCATTTCTCAGTTCTTGAACCTGCAAGGTCTTTTCCATATTATCTATAATATGATATTTTTGTGTAAAGTGTACACCTTTGAATGGAGTAGCTTTAGGCAAACTGCCATGCAACTTGGACAAACTTTGGTTCCTAAGAACTTTTTCTTTCTTTCTTTTTTTTTTGACAGGCAGAGTTAGACAGTGAGAGAGGGAGACAGAGAGAAAGGTCTTCCTTCCATTGGTTCACCCCCAAAATGGCCTCTACGGCCGGTGCGCTGCACCAATCCGAAGCTAGGAGTCAGGTGCTTCTCCTGGTCTCCCATGCAGGTGCAGGGCCCAAGCACTTGGGCCATCCTCCACTGCCTTCCCGGGCCATAGCAGAGAGCTGGACCGGAAGAGGAGCAACTGGGACAGAATCCGGCGTCCCAACAGGGACTAGAACCCGGGGTGCAGGCGCCGCAGGTGGAGGATTAGCCAAGTGAGCCACGGCACTGGCCCCTAAGAACTTTTTCAATGACTTCCAATAGATTTAGATTTTTGCCAGTGCTTGATTTAAGAATTTTTCTTATTCAATTCACTGGTAAGTGTAAGCCATGTTTTAAATATCATAATGCATTCTCGTCCCGTATTCTGTAGTGTAAGAGTCTTCTTGCCATGCTCGGGCCTTAGGTCTGTACTTCATGCTTGAAAGTATTTTCGTCATTGAAAGGACTCCATACTTTCTCCATGTCAACTTGCACCCCAGCCTATTTTTAGGCGGAGACTGTGAAAGGGAACTGGGGAAGGAGATGGAAGAAGAGTGGGGGGCCTTGGAGTCCAACTTGGCAGATGGAAGGACAATGACACTGAACCTTAAGGTCTTTCTAATGAGGGAGAGAAGATAACTTGGCCCTTTGATTTCACCAAAAGTAATCACTTATTTCATCCTTTCACCCTCATGGGTGCTTTACATCAATTATCTTCTTTTATCCTCTCAACAACTCTACAAGTTGGATATTAATGTCTTTTACAGGTGAGTGAACTGAGGGTCAGAGAAATCAGGTAACACACTCAAGGACACATAGCTAGTAAGTGATAAAAATTGAGATTCTACCCAATCCTGATTTCCGTAGGGCCTAGATTCATTCTATTGTGCTGGGCCGCCTTTCCAGGAACAGAGAGGAAAAGATAGCATTCTACACAGACTAATGGATTCATAAGGATGCCCCAGGACCTCGCAGCTGGACAGATTCCAGCTGCCCATTGGCCAACTTCCATTTTAAAATACTTTTAATTTTATGATCAAAGTGAGCATTTGTAATTAGGTAGTAACATACCAGCTATCAATGTTTTGCCTCTGGACATAAGCTGATTACCCTAATGATGGGAAAACAACATGTTTTCTTTGCAGATTAACATCCTTTCCTTTCGCTGGGCAGGCATCCTGACCCTTTACAGGTATGAAGTTTTATGCCAGAGGCAAACACTAGGCCAGACCCCCCCTTTACTTTGGCAAATTGTATTTTCCTGGAGCACGGATGGTCATATTTTGCTTATACAATAAGGGAAAAAAAGGGTTTTGATGGCGCTAAGCAGATGTGAGGATCTGAGCGTGGTTTTAGAATCAGCAAACACTTGGGGCCTGAGGCTCTGTGCTTTCATTGAGAGGAAGCCCAGCTGAAGTCCATCAGAGGAAAAGAGCAGATCAGCCCCAAATGTGAAAGACGATGCCTTAATTTTGGCAAATTACTGTATTTCAGTGAGACTTGCTTCCAAAATGAAAGTATTAATTTAGATGGAGAAACGAATGTCACAGACCAGTTAGATTTTCTTTTAGATTGAAACCTCAATTTTTCATTTGAAAGGGTCTTGTTCTTTTCAGCTTGAACCACCATGAGACTTTCCCCTATTAGTCACAGCAGTGCTGGGCTCACCTGTGTTTAAATTGTCCAATTTCTGGACATCTGTTAGCTAGAGACGCTGTTGGGATTTATCACATGGCTTAATCAGAGAGGATGTACATCCCCCTCACTATTTGGATGCCTCCCTATCTATTCAGTAAACCTAGGGCAGCTATTAAAATGAAAATAGTTCAAAATCTGTTATTTTTGAAATTTGTTGCATAGCAGTATTTTTAAGCATTGATAGCATATCAGAATCAAATGGAAACTCTAAAAGATATTGGTGACTGAGTCACCCAATCTTCTGGAGGTGGTGGTGCAGCAGCATTACAAAAAGTTTCTGAGGAAATTGGAATGTACGCTTGAGAGTTCCTGATGTGGAACATGATGGAGGGGTGGGTAGTATGGAAAAATAATGAGGGAGAAGAATGGAATAGATGTGAAATGTCACGAGAGGCTCTGCCCTGAGCAGGATGTGGCTTTGACTCTTATCTCTGCCACATGATACAGTTCTCTGACATGGGGCAAATTACATTTCTGCTGAGCCTTAGTTTGCCATTTTTATAATGAATATATTCATACTCACCTTCTAGAGTGGTTGTGAGAACCACTTATTCATATTTACCTTCTTGTCTCTGTGTAGGAACAGCCCTGCACACATCATAGGCAGTCTTTACACAGATCTGAATTTATTGCTACTGCTAGATATCATTATTGAAAAATAGGGTGCCAGGTACTTCCAAAAGTTCTGATTAGGAAGGAAGGGAAGGAAGATGACCTTGGGGTTGCTTATGTGATAGGGGAGGGGAGAGCAGAGGGGAGCAGAGCAGTGCCCTTCTCCTCGCCCAGCCTTACCTCTGCAGGTAGGAGCGCAGCATTGTGATGCCCAGCAGAAAGTACATCATGATGGAGCACACCATCATGGCCAGTCCCAGGAGGATGGCCCGGTCCTCTCCTGCTTTCAGTGCTGTGACTGTTTTCCTTTTATCCAAGAGGTCGTGGTCCCTGATTTTTTGGTAAATGTTTCTGAGATTGAAAACAATACAATCTTACATGAAGTTCACAGTAAATCATCATATCTTTAGAGAGCAACTTTCTGCCAGTGCCTTCCTAGGGTTCAGAGACCTAGAGGACCCCTCAACTCTCCTTAATGCAGCTGGATCCCTGTGTGTGACCACAGCCTCCCAGCATGCACGCTCAAGCATGTGTGCACACATACACACACATGCATGTACCCACAAATACATGTACACATGCGTGTGCATGACCCTGAGCAGACAAGCCACCCCTCCTTGGGGCCATGTTGAATTAGAAATTAATTTTTCTTCTTTCCAATTCTAAAGAAAGAAATCAGTCTCTTCAATTCTCTCAATAATGTATTGGATTTGTTGACTTTACTGTTTAATGTTGAGTTGATCATCACTGATCTTTTTATACTTGCTGAATACCCAAAGGAGCATTAATTCAAATAAGTGGCAGCATGTATCAGGAATCTACCAGCTCAATCACTTAGTTATCAGTAGTGTCAGAAAGAAGTTATTTTGGTTAGTATTTTTCTCAAGCACAGGGTGCTTAAGGCTCTATGAGCTTGGGATTTATAAACAATGAGAAAAAGTGGAGCAGTGACCCAGTCTTCTTTTCTTTATGTGTAAACACTTGAGTGAGTTTGAAAAGTGTCAGTAAAATCAAGACCACAGCCCATAGCTTTGGACAGTTTTACTAGTTTTTTTTTTTTTTTTTTTTAATTTCAGAGCAGTAATATAAGGTAAGAAATAACATGAGGTTTAAATCAAACTGTCTCTTGCATTCAAACCCTGATTTCATACTTACTAATTGCGTGATCAGTGTTGTCTTAGCTTTTCTGATTCCCAGTTTCTATTAAAAGTTGAAATCACATGTAAATTCATTGTAGGAGTGGACATTTAGTCTAGTGGTTAAGATGAGAATGCCACATGAGAATGCCTAGGTTCAATGCCTGACTCTGGCTCCTGATTCTAGGTTCTCACCAATGCAGGTCTTGTGGGGGCAGCAGTGATATCTCAACTAGTTAGATTCCTGCCACCCATGTGATAGACCTGGGCTGTGTTTCCAGCTCTGGCCCTGCCCAGACTGCTGCAGGTATTTGGGAAGTGAACCATTAGATGGGGACGCTTTCTCTCTCTCTCTCTCTCTCTCTCTCTCTCTCTCTCCCCTTCTCCCTCTCCCTCTCCCTCCCTCTCCCTCTGTCTCTCAAGTAGTTTTTTTTTAATATTTATTTTATTTTTTGAAGGTAGAGTTACATAGAGGGAGAAATAGAGATCTTCCATCCTTTGGTTCACTCCCCAAATGGTTGCAACAGCCAGAACTAGGCCAGGCCAAAGCCAGGAGCCAGGAACTACCTCTGGGTTTCTCAGTGGGTGCAGGGGCCCAAGGACCTGGACCATCCTCCATTGCCTTCTCAGGTGTACCACGGGAGCTGGATTGGAAGTGGAGCAGCTGGGACTTTAATCTGTTCTCATATGAAATGCTGGCATTGCAGGCAGTGTCTTAACCTGGCACACCATAACACTGGCTCCTCAAATAAGTTTTTAAAAATTTAAAATCCATTATAATACTGAAATGAGCTGATACAAGTCAATCACTAGGAGAACAACTGATGTAAGTACTTCATAAAATGTTCCCATTCAAAAGTGGGGCAGGGACTTTCAGCTCAATGTTGAAAGCATCAGAATATCCTAAAATTGCTACTATTCTCTGAAGAATTTCTAAAAGATATAACGTCAAGGAAATGAATAGTGTATAAAGCTTAGCAACGGAGGCCTGGATTTCAAACAAAGTCTGGAAGGGACTGGAAACTGCAGTGCTGGGTGCATGGGGAAATGCGTGTGAAGTCTGGGTAGGAAGGCCCTGTTCAGGAATCCTGGTGAGGTAGGTGACCAAGAAACAGCTCAGCAGCTGATCTCTCATTTGTGTTTTGAGGAGGGTGTGCTGGTTTGTGGGGCTGTGGGCGATGGGAAGTCACTAACCTCTTGGTCCTGGAAACAGGACACACTGAGTACTGCAAATGGAGAAACTCAAGTCATTTTTTTTAGCTTCAGGCAAAAAGTCAATATGCACAAAAATAGTTTCAGATTTTCCCTTAAAATTTTTATCACCATCACTTTTATTGCTTTGGAAAGGAACCAGAGAAGAATGCAATGCAGGGAAGGGAGGAGATGCCTGCTTTTTGTACAATTCTGTGCATGTTCATTGCTTATATTTAGCTCTGTGTTCCAGGATGGCCTTACTGGTGCTTAGGGCCAGTGCCTATTCTGATTGGCTCATCCATTTTGGGATGGTTGTTAAATATTTTGATTCCTTATAAAGATGTGAAAATATTTTTTAAATTTATTTTATATTTTTCTAAAATAATTTTAGGTACAGTAATTATTATCAGCATACAAAATTAACTGATCAGCTTGATATTATTATTATTATATTATTATTATTCTAAAGTCCTCTTCATGAGCTACTTCATCAAAATCTTGCTCTTTCTTTGAGAAGTAGACCTGTTATAGGAGGAATCATAGCTAAGTAGAAATCTGTTCATGATCTTTCACAGCCATGTTCTTCCTGGCTTCCTCTGACCCTCACTCACTCTTGATCATTTCTAGAGATTCAAAGAACTCATATTCCCATTTCTCCATCTCCCAAGCCCAGTGCCTCTGGTTTAGTGACTGCTCTTCCTTTGACTTGCATAAACCAGCAGTCATCTACTATCGAAGTTTCCTTATTCGTTTTTGAGACTTTTTTTTTTTTGAGATTGTAGCATTTGCAGCAAATCTTTTTCAAAGTGACCTTATGCATAAAAGCGTAAGTGCCCGTTAGCAGCCAAAGTCAGTGGGCAGGCAGACTTCTGGAGTAGGAAGAGACAGGTAGAGACTGAATAGTTTCAAAGACCTATTGTAAAATGATAATCAGATGTCACTTTGCTAATATTATTTATTTATTTATTTATTTTTTTAACAGGCAGAGTAGATAGTGAGAGGGAGATAGAGAGAGCGAGAAAGGTCTTCCCTCTTGCCATTGGTTCACCCTCCAATGGCCGCAACGCCGATCTGGCAGGAGCCAGGTGCTTCTCCTGGTCTCCCATGGGGTGCAGGGCCCAAGCACTTGGGCCATTCCCCACTGCACTCCCGGGCCACAGCAGAGAGCTGGGCTGGAAGAGGGGCAACCGGGACAGAATCCGGTGCCCCGACCTGGACTAGGACCCGGTGTGCCGGCGCCGCAGGCAGAGGATTAGTCTATTGAGCCACGGCACCGGCCAACTAATATTATTTATAAATGTGTATTTATTTTGATGTCTGCTTTTCCTGCAGATCAAAGCCAGCAAGAAGGGAATAGTAGTATCATAGTTTCCCAGTTTTAGGCTGTCAAACATACAACACTTATGTCAGTCTATACCCATAAAAGAATGAAGTATGATCAATCTGTTATGTCACCAGAACAAGAAACATAGAAAAATGATTCAAATGGGTAACTTAGAAACACATCACAATTTGAAAATAGTTAACAAATGTTTTTTGCATGCTGTGGAATGTATACAGAAGAAGGGAGATGAATGGTTTCCACCCAGTCCAAGGGCATCTGGGAAATCAGGATATTACCCAGCAAAAGAAAAGTAGGTGAGTAGGGTGGGCTATAGCTATGGAATTAATCAATAGATAGTGGTTGAATTAATGGATAAATGGAGGATGAACCAATGATTTGGAAGATTATAGAATAAATATATCTTTTTTTTTTTTTTTGACAGGCAGAGTGGACAGTGAGAGAGAGAGACAGAGAGAAAGGTCTTCCTTTGCTATTGGTTCACCCTCCAATTGCCGCCGCGGCCGGCGCACTGCGGCCGGTGCACCACGCTGATCCGAAGGCAGGAGCCAGGTGCTTCTCCTGGTCTCCCATGGGGTGCAGGGCCCAAGCACTTGGGCCATCCTCCACTGCACTCCCTGGCCACAGCAGAGAGCTGGGCTGGAAGAGGGGCAACCGGGACAGAATCCGGCGCCCCGACCGGGACTAGAACCCGGTGTGCCGGCGCTGCAGACAGAGGGTTAGCCTATTGAGCCGTGGCACCGGCCAGAATAAATATATCTTGAGGGAAGGACCCTCTTGTTACTGGAGAACAATAGCAAGGTAGGAAGTCTGACATGAAAATGAACATGAACGTCAGAAGGAAAGTGCACTGATGAAGCTAGTTTCAGAGAGGAGAAGAGGTGAAAAAGGTGGGCAATTTCTCTACCTGAGGGAGTCAGACAAGGAACAGAGGTTGAAGTTAGAGAAGGCATCTTGGGAGAATAACGCCTTAAATATTTCCATCAATTCTGATTCAGTTAACCAAATGGGACAAGCAGTGGAGGGTATTACACACTGAAGTGCTCATATGAACAAAAGTATAGGGAATGGCAATTTCATGGTGCATATCAGAACTACAAATATTTTAATGTTGCTTGGATGAATGTGGGACAGGTGAAACAGGGAGGTAAGTTTGGAAAGGTGGGTATGCCATGAAAGGTTTTGTACGTTCTGAAGAACTTGGCCTTTATTCTATAGCTAATGGGAAGCTGTCACAGGGTGATGTTGTCAGAACTAAGTGTTAGAATGATCTCTGGCTGTTGTGTGGATATTATATTACAAATGGGACAAGAAAGGTAGGCCTTTGGCCTAGCAGTTAAGATACCCCTGTCTCATATTGGAGTTTTGGGGTTCTGGCCCTGGCTCCTCACTCTGGCTTCCAGACAATGCAGACTCTCGGAGCAGTGATAGCTCAAGTGATTAGGTTCCCCTCTGCCACATGGGAAACCTGGATTAAGTTCCAGACTTCTGGCTTTGTCTTGGCCCAGCCTCAGCCATTGTGAACATTTGGAGAGTAAACAGCAAATGGGAGTTCTCTGGCTGTCTCTCTGTCTCTCAAATCAACACATAAAAATTAAAAAAAAGAGAATGGTACAGGACTTAACTCAGAGAGAAGGACTATGAGATTGTTATGGTAGTTTTGGCAAAGGATGATGAGG